ATCAAAACTTTTCAAATCCCGAAAAATATCTAATAAATGAAAAGGGAAGAGATATGTCTAGAGCCCGAAGTGAGCGATGCCAGCTTTGGTAAATGGCAATCCATATGACCAATACGTTAATTTGCCTACAGAGAGCATTGAGTGGAAGAAGTAGATCATGAATGTCGTTGCATAATGCAAGAGGTCGAATAGTCCACTAGCTTGTTGAAGGAATTAATAAATCTACCTTCAGTCTCTCTCTCCAACTGGTTTTATCTTTCACTCTTGGAAAGGTCAAGACTTAGACGCACTCAAAACATCCATCCCAGTCATTGGTGTTTCTGGCGCATGAAGTGATGGACACAATTTGAAAGCTCGGACCCAGTTTCTTAAAGTGGCAAATTCATAGGGAGCGTGATTTAGTCTTTCCTGCATCTCGGCATTTCTGATATTATTCCAGGCGTCAGCCCCAATCGCCTCTGAGGATATCTGCCTCCTCACACTCTTAAGATGGTGTTGTAGCTCAGAGGACTCCCTTTGGATATCAACTCTGACACCTTTCGCATGCCAAAGATGAGTTCGGGCCTGAAATGTGTTGAAGGCTTTTTGCGGCTGTCGGGACTGGTGAAGGGCGTGGCCTCGGGGTATTCTTGATCAGCCTCACAGCGGGTCACACGTCCCTTGGGTTTCCTTGAACAGATTTGATCATATTTGGGGAAGGATATGATCAAGTAGTTTAGGTTCACCGATCTTGGGATAATGAAGCCGAGAACAAGTTTTCTATAGATCTTCGTGATTATTGGGCAGGTTGTCTGAGGCCTTCTCATAGCATGAATACAGTATTGTTGATTTATTTGACAGTATGGACTTTGCACATTGTGGGCTGGTAAAAACTGTGTGAGTATACTGATGCTGGACTAGTAATGGAAAACTGGTTGGCGATTTGTGGCTTTATATCGCCTGGCAATTTTAAAGGCAGTAGCGTTTACATGCAATGATGGGCCAATCTGTTTGACGTCCGTTTTATGGTGCCTATCGCACATTTCAATTCTAGTTTTTTGATGAGTTGTTTGCATCGTGCGTCTGAATTCTGAAGGTTTGTTTGACTCAACTGAGTGCTGGCCACAAAAGTCCGTCGGGACGGCGAAACATTAATCGCTCCACCATCGTTTCATATCTAGCGAATATAGTTTAGTCAAAGAAACCAGAAAAGCAGTCACTTGACGTTGCAAGATGTAATGTTTTTTTTGCTGTGAAAATTAATTAAGTGCATCCTATAGTAGAAAGGCATTCATGTTCAAGCTGTGAAGTGGGCATATTGTGTAGCAATTAGGGGAAAAACAACTTCTTCTCGGGTTTGCTATTCCGCAGCAATGCATCATAAAGTCACTTGTATGGAGCGTGTGTGGTCAACATCCGCCAGACATTTGGCACGAGTCATGTGTTCACGGAATTTAGATGATAAACGGGGAGACCAATCAGCCCAAATCCTCTGCCCTTCTAACAGAAGACACCAATGACTGAGATAAATCGGGCATGGGATCGTCGTAAAAAGGAGGGGCCAAAGGGGCTGGGTCTGGAATAATGGTTCACTTGAGACGTACGCAAAATCTGATTGAAGTCAAGATGGCTCAAACGAGTTGTCATATTATCAATTGGACGGAATGCATTTGCGCTTGAGTTTGTTCCTCTGCCTCAGATTGATATAATGCTTCAATTCAAAGCATTTCAATGCTTGTTGTGCAATCAGTTGGCGATTATCATTTCTTCCATACGGATCACATTACATTGGAACAACGAACCTCTTTAGCGGCGAGAGAAGGTTGTCTTTGTCATCCTCAAAGGCGTGCGTAATCACGTAGAACTGATTCTCTTGCCTGGGGGCGTGGCTAGGAGTCTACCACACAAACAAAGTAAGGGTAATACAATGTCGCTATTGAACCAATGGCATGGACTACATGCGAGGTGTGTTGCTTACAGCTGCAGACGTAGCTTCAGGCACCTGCGATTCGTATTTTTTTTTTCTTATTGATGTAAACTTACAGAGTTCTTGAGTTTGTGGTTTCCCATGGGCACGAGACTACGTTTTGTATTTAAATGCATACATGTGCAACCGCAGGACGTGATAACTACACTATGTACCTTGTAAGGTAGTGATTTGATTTTCCTATAGGATAGTATTTTGGCCGTATTCCCATAGAAATCTCGAGATTTGGGGCCCTCTGCCATAAGACAGCTATCTTATTCGCCAATCAATACCTCTAGGCAGTCAAATCTACTTCCTACCAGAAGTTTCTGCCCTGGGAAGAGCGGAGGGGAGGAGATGAAATAAGCTTAATGAAGGTTGGTTTATTCATTTCTATAAGAGCAAGTGACTACCCAAAATAAACTTTAGCGCGGTGCAGGAATCCGTGGGAATCCCTAGGCCTGGAGTCGTGGCTATAAGTTTTCCTGTTTTTTTTGTGTTTTCAAAATATTTGAAGAATTGAGGTCTCAATGGTAATCAAAAATTTTAAGCAAGTGAACCGACACCGCGATCACTCATGCACGAAACAACGTCCGTAAGGCAACAATATCTGCTTCATTCTCCCGATCATTATACGTTTCAAACCACAAGCGATATCAAGAAAAATAATATGATTTTTACGCAACTTGGAATATGATAATCAGGGCTGCCCTTCGATGTACCGCTGTAATTGATCTCAAACGAATAGCCAATATTACTTCACTTGACAAGACTTCAGTCTGCAAATCTTGGCTCGTTTCCATTGTTTTTAAAGTTTGGGATCCGATTGTTACTCAGAGCTCATGCGATTATGATCTTACCTCACAGCAAGGGAATAGTCTCATGCCGCGAGGGAAAGGTTAAATGGTACTACATGGTTAAAAGAATTAGAAATTAGCGCAGCAAATATAGATCTTAGTCCGCACTGCTCTCGTACCCAGACTAGAGTCTCGTACCTACAGACCTAGATCTGTGATTAGTATATCCTGGAGATGTGTTAGGCTGAGAAGGACACTGGGTGGGAAAATGAGTGAAAGACACCGGTGGATGAACATAATGTGCTTTCACTAATATAAGGTGGAGGTATTTTCCAACGGTTGTTCTTCAGCCGTTCGGCCGAAAACTGTAAATGTATGGCGCAATCAATCGATCAACCCGATCGGATTGATAAGACTTGACTTAGAATAACGTTTTGCGTTTCGCGGGATGTTCTTTTCGAAATCCACCATATTACACTGGCAGTACCAAAAACATGTGATTTCTGCCTTTGTTTCCCTTGAGAGACCTGTAGTCTCCAATTGCCTCAATCCCACATTGCCGCAGAAGGATTCGGAGTTGCTATCCCTACCATTGATATTGTATTTCCCATATATATATATTGATGAGACCGGCAACCTTTTCAGATCGTACATTCCATAGCAGCACAATTTCCTCTCGAAACGAGTCAAATCAACTTAATCAGCCTATTGTTCACCAGAATCATTCACCCTTCCCTTTGGACCATCTACAACTATGCCCATTCTTCGCATCTTGATCGTGGTAGTAGCAATCATTTGCAATGCTTTTACTGCTGTCAATGCTCAGACTGTGGAGTCAGTGGTCGAAAATCTTAGACAGGGACGGGTCTGGTTTGATACTGCAGCTCACACATTTGAACTACTCCCTCATTATAGAATACCAAGCTTAATCAACGTCAGTATCTAGTTGAATCTCTTTCTTCAAATTCCATCTTTTGTTGTCATATACTACTTTTCGCCCATTAACTACCATATTATGTGGGGATTGAATCAGTAAAAACATGCACATCGTTATGTATACATCTGCACACTTCAGCTCTCTCTCCAACGGACCACCTCTATTTGAAAAAAAAGCTAACACCGATAATGGGACATTTAGTCAACCGCCTCCTGCCTGGGAGATGTTTCATTCATATTGACCGAAGGCACCCTGAAATTCACAAACTCCCCATTGGTACCCTTATGGCCCGAAAGCACAGCCGACACTATCGTCAACGTCCTCAAGGGGCATGAGCTTGCGGCGAAACTTATCTATGACACTCTGGGCAAAGGCAATATTTTAGCCTATTTCGATGTAGATCCGGTGCTAGACAGATTGAGAGGTCTGTCTACTACTTATGAGGTACGTGTGCCCATAGTATACGTCATATCCAGATTATCGGAGTGATTATTGTGGCTGACTTTCGGTCTTGGGAATATAGCGGTATGGGGAGAAATTGGTGACCCGTTATGACACAAGGGTAAAGGCGAAGCTGGAGACAGCAATTGATGGAATTCAACGATATCTACAAATATATTTCAGTGAAAGAGCCCGCTGAACCACGTACGATGGAAACCAGTGAGTTAACAATGTGAGAGTTTTCAATATCTCAAGTCATTTCTTTTCAAATTTCTTCATCAGTCATCACGTATCAAATGCAGGTCTTAAAGCCTATGTCGAGTCCTCCAGCCCCAATATCTCGGTCGTTGATGATACTCTATCTTTCTACTCCTTTATTCTTTTTCGGAGGTTCTGTGTCTATTTTTCGGGGATTGTTTCACGATTATGGAGATGGACATGTATACATGTCGACAGTTTACGAAGCTTCATATACAGGCGGCGGCAACTGCCGCCTTAGTAATTTTCAATTTTTCAATTTTTAAAATTGATGTTATTATCTACAGGAGTCCGACGCCGCTAGGGTTCGAATTCGGTTACGAAGAGCTCGAGGCTGCTAGCTGCCTGGACATTCCCGAAGTTTATAAATTCAAATAGTACTTCTAACCGTCCAATGGCATTGAGAGAAGGCAGTAATCCCCGGAGCCTCGTAGCTATAGGAGAATGAATGAGAGGTAATGCCAAAGATATCCAAAAATCGAAATAGGAATTCCAACCCAACGAACCCATCCCATCCCATCCCGTCCGCCAACTAGTGCTTCGTAAACGTCAAACATATCCAAAAATGGAGCTGTGAATTATATTCATCCCAATCCATCATATACACCAACAGCAAAAATATTAGTCCCGCCGAGGTTCGAACTCGGGACCTTTCGTGGACACAATCATAGAATCTGATGTGAGACGAAAATCATAGCCACTAGACCACAAGACTGGTGATTATATTGAATTAAGGTGATCTTTCCCTATCAGCATCATGCACCTTTAAAATCTACACACAGTATGTCGTCATATGAGGCCGTTTTGGGCCCGATGCAATGGAATTATAGATTTTGATGTTTTATGGCATGCTTCAGTATGGTCAAGGGCATATAACTACTTAGGTAACTTAGGAGCTGTCATCCATGATATTATTAATGATATATATGGTCTATAATATAAAAATCTGCTTTGCATGGGCCATGGCGTGTGAGATTTACGAAAAATGATTATAATCAGTACATGCCACGACATCAATTATGAGACCCTCACGAAGTCTGTTCATACCTAACCTAAATTAGTGACTTACCGCAACGGGAAAAATAAGCTTTAGAGTTAGACTTTAGACATATGTATGGCCCAAAACAGTCTCGAGCGCCCCAAAACCCCAGAACCGCCAAAAGAAAGTTAAACCCTTACGATACTAGCTAAACTCATACGCCCCAAGTTATGCAAGGAAGTAGGTTATTCTATTATAGCGCGCCAGCACTATTTTCAAGGTTCAGACAATAGTAGTTCCTATTTGGGAGTCAATACTGCCAGATCTGGGTTAGTCCCCTACTCAACCTTTAGCTCACTACTTGTTTTGGAGTTCGGGAATTGCCACCAATATAGTGTCGTCACCAATATTTAGGTAGCTAAAGGTGATTCAGTGCATGGCGACTCTCTTGATAACGACTATGAACGACAATTATGACACTACGAGCTCAATTGCCATTGGCTAGATTAGAATATCTGAAGGAATATGCCTAGGTCATTTAGCCAAATTTATATGGCGCGCTAGCTACGGTAGTTGACTTTTTTCCCACGTGGTCACCCACTGTAGTACTAAGCCGATCTGAAGCTTAGATATGGCAGAGTGGACGCGATGCCTGGTTGTCTTCAGTCCTTGGTCGTAGATGTGTATTTCCTGAAACCGGCTGTATAAGTGCAATGGACTTGATTCATTTAGAATTATAGGGTGAATTGTGGTTTGAAGTACAACCAAGTTCCGTTCAAACATATTTGCTGACCCTGAATCCAGCAATTACAGAAAAATGAGTCCCTGCTCTATTTTTCTTGTAGTCATAGACATGAAGCTGCGGACCCCGTGCTTTTGCATGTAATAGAAGCTATCTTTGCTCAGGGGTGTAAAGCGGTACACATGCATGTTGTGTGCTGGTTTTTAAGGCACAAGTTGCCCAACGCTTCTCATTCTGGGGCGATGCCGATGTTGAACATTGGCTTCTGTGTTTGGCTTCTGTGTATTTCCACCTCTACAACAGGTGACCATGAATGGTTTGGGGCCGTGCACTAATTCTTGGCTGAGCTGCGACCAGGGATCAGGGTTATGATTGTTCGGATGCGGTAGCCAGGGAGGATTCATAACCAATACGTCCTTTGATACATTCCTACAAATAGCTGTAGCTCAGTATCACAATGTGACATTTGAGTCGGAATGTGAACGAAATATCTTGAGTTCAGCGGCGAATTCACGTGTCCGCGTTCAGAAACAAAGTTGTGGCTCAACCAAACCACTATCGTCTCTTACAGGTAGGCAGATATCCGTCATCCAGAATTCAATACCAGGGCACAAAATAAGGATCATCAACGGGTTGTTTACAGGTGGCGTATGTTCCGCGGACGTTGATCGCGATAACATAGGAAACGTAATTCACAAAGCTCGCACCAGAGTTGTTCGAAATATGTCTGAAAATTACAAAATACAATTAACGCATCAAGTAAGAGAGATGTACGAATCCCTGAAAACCGATGATGGATGGTGGATTTGTTATGAGAGAAAATTCACGGAAGTCACCTCCCTAATTTAAATACATACCTTTGCATCTAAAATCATGTTTGCTTTGCATACACATTAACATTTAATCGAACCATTTCCAATGACATGCAGTAACGCCCATATTGAAACTTGCGGAAGACCCTGATTGATTGATGGGAACATACTGCACCCCCAAGCCCCATCTGCCCTCATTTTCGCCGTGTTATCCCTTCCCACATTGCACATAGCACAATCCACCGCTTTCCATTCATCTGGAATGTCAGCCACACAACTGCATACAGCCCTATTCCTCATGCACTTGCACTCTTCCCTTCGCCCTGCTGCTCGCCATGAGCCTTGACAGCGTTCAAATAAATCTCCCACTCCTCCGAGTCGAACTCAGCATGTTCCATGAGTGCCTTCCAATAAATCGCCCACATTTCACTATCGCCTTCGCTTGTGCTGTCGACACTAGTACCAGTATCTTCGTTGCCTCTTTGGGTAATTGATTCGTTCAACGATAATTTCGCTGTATTACGTTGAATTTTATCCATGTAATCATCATCATCGCTATCCGTGTATGATTGGTTTTGCTCCTCTAGATTGGGGAGATCCTCATTCTCACTTGAAGGATTGTCGCTGTTGTTGCTGGTGGATGTGATTTCGGGCTGAGTTGGATCAGCCTCTGCCATGACTTCATCGGTTTGTGAATCATGTCCACTGGGATCAGGATTCACGTCGGGTGATACATTTGTTGAGCCAACCGAGCTACTTTCCTCCCCCGAAATCAAAGGTTGTGTCATGGGACTGGAGGAAGTCGTCTTGTTTTTCTTGAAGAAAGCAGTTACTGGCTTGGAACTCTTCGGCTTCCGCGGGCTTGGTGCGACAATATCGTTATAGTCTCGACTTCTTTCTTTTCCTTTACCTTTGTTTGTGGCTGCTTTGGTTTTACTTCTCGTACCATACGGATGGCTGGTTTTACTTCTCGTTCCATACGGATGGCTTATTGGAGTGTCCATCTTTATCCTAGTCGATTACAGCTTGATTGACTCGGAAGGAAATAGAAGGTGGCTGTTAAAACAAATCACCAAAGTAACCAGCGAGAGGATTTTTCAAACTTATTTCTGATAGCCAGACGTTGGGCGTGTAGAAAAGTCCGCGCTATTATTATTCACGTAGCAAAGAAAGGCGTTGCCGCAGAGAAACATTTGGACGTTGTGAACTCTATGTTTGGCGTGCGGCTTCATAAAGTTGCAGATCGTTGTGCACCTGGACCATCCTGGGGCTATGATTGCTTGATGCATTCGGTGCCCAACGCATATTAAAAATTGCGCAGTGCAGATGACGTCCAGGTAGACATTCCATGGTGCAGCGTCAACCAATGGATTTGCTCATTCACGGTCATGCAATGTGCGCTTTTTCTGGCTTGGCATGTTGTATATATTGTGCGTTGAGCCTCTGTAGCTGTACAACCAGTGAGACTTACTCTTGGAGCTACCTATGTACTCGGCAAAAACTTCTGTATTCATGTATCATCTGCGTTGAAGTTGGTCTATATTCCAGACTGTTCACCGAGCTGGCCATTCGTGCAGCCAGGCAACCCGCCCAACGGCACAATAAGGCGGCCTATATATAAAAAATAAAGCCCCAATCAATGTGTAGCTGAACATTGAATATGTAATTACAGTGGCTTCTATCGTGGATTCCCGCTAGGCCCCAACGATGCCATTCAACAATGATGATAGAAAACATGACCGGTGTGTCATTGAAAGGTATCATTGTCTGGTTCACGCTTGTGTTATAATCATTGAAACACGAAACCGATATTGTGAGAGATAATTGTTGATCTACACGATCCGGTGCGTTTATTGAAATGCCCCAGACCCACATAGCTAGCAGCACAAAGTTGGCAGTCGCTCGTGATATCCATGCCATACCAGTTGAGTCCTGTTCTCAGAAGTCCCTTGGTACTTCTGCGCGCATGACATGGCAAACATATACTCACGATGACAGGTAGATTTGCAAATTCATTGGATAGTAGATCTGCCATACATAGACATGCTTATTCATTTTTAGTTGGCGTCAAACCATCCCTTCGTTATAGCCCGGGTCACCTGTATCAAGGTTTTGAACTAAAAACGGGAGTCAATTACTCTACCCGTGGCCCATTTGACAAAGGGAAGTCAAAATAACTATCTAGGCGGAAATACCTGTCGAAATGAACGTCGCCCATAACTGCTCCATCGAGTTTTCTCGTTCACCATGGCCCGTTTCCTTCGATCATCATTTGCCGGGGGGGCATGCTGCTACACTCGACATTTGGATGGTCCTACACGCTTCTTCCATTGGTGCATCGTCCAGAGTTGAAATCATTCTCCTAGATCCCTTGCCGACCTGTTGTCCCCCGACCTGCGTTTCCAGCTTCTGTTTCTTGCTGTTCGTGGTAGCCACTTCCTAGTCCCGACTCCTCGTTTGCTCCTATTCCCACAGCCTCGTTACCTGCTATCCTGCAATGTGCAATTATCTTTACCAGCCTGATATTCTCTTTATGTTGCTCTGTATCTTGATGGCATCCCATTGGCTTTGGGGCACCGCTACCCCTAGCTGGATATCGGTCAGAGTGAGTCTATGATTCCCAGTGATTGTCAGCCTTATGGATTCCACGATGCCCAGTACTTCTGCTTTAAGTATGGTAGATATGTTGGCAGGAAACCCTCTATGAAATTGAGCCTCATGGAGGCCCGGCACAACATCCATGTTAACTGAATTCCTTGCATTATCACGGTCTATTGGTCCCCATTACTCATCAGTTTCAAATTGTGTGCCATCCCTCGCGAGCCCAGTCTGTTCTCCATTTCTCCCATTTCTTGATCCATCCATACGATCCTTCTTGCAGCCCACAGTGATAGGGATTCAGTGAGAGGACTACGATCTACTAACAGATGTAATACAGGAGCGCATGACGTAAAGTTGGGTAATGAACAGCAAGAGAACGAAAGAGAAAGAAATCTGCTCCTCCTGCAAAATACCATGGGCTGGAGGACTCAATAAATAGACAACCCGATTCAGACCCTAGGATGCAGATATTTGTCCTTTGCTCCATGCGGAGCCTGGGTTTGTTGCGAAAGAGGCTGCGGGGGGATAGTTCAGAATAACTGCCTCCTGCTTGGCGTGCTCTACTGGCTTATGCTGGCGGG